GGGCTCACCAACGAAGATCTGCAACAACTAACAGAACACAGCGAAGAATGACGAAAATGATTCAGGGACTTAGAAACCTTCTATATCAAGATAGGTTAAAGAAACTAAACTTGCATTCCCTAGAAAGATGGAGAGTGCAGGGAGATAGGATAGAAGTATTTAAGTGGGTGAAAGGAATCAATAAAGGCGATATAGATAAAGTTCTTATAATATCCGAGCAGGTTAGGACTGCAGTAGCAACGGATTTAAGTTGGATAAGTTTAGGTTTAGGAGGGGAAAGGAAGGAACTGGTTCACAAATAGGGATGGTGGATGAGTGGAACAAGCAGCAACTTTAGTAAGTGCTAAACGCTGGAGAGTTTTAAAAGGCTAGGTAGATTCATGGATGATAGAGAGTGGTAGTAACTCTCGACAGAGCCATATCGCGGCCAACATTCTGCAGACTCCTTATTTTCTTATAATGGCGAAGAAGAAAGAACCTCAACAACCTTCTTCAAGAGGATGGCAGAAGCGTTCAACATGTTCAGCAAGCAATGCAAATCTCATAAGATGACGACCCAAACAGAGCGTAGCTCAAAGGTTTCCAGCGAGCAGTGACGACAGTCTTGGTTGTTACACTGAGATCTATAAGGAGAAGAAAGGTAGCACCAAGCAGTCAACACTGGATTCATTTGTTCGTCTCAGGACGGCAGAAGGACGCTCTTCACAACAGCCGGCAGGGAGGAGCAACCAGCGGCGGAGGAACCCCAGTCAGAGCAGGAGGAGGAGGAGGAGTCAGCCGCCGAAGTATCAGTGACTCGCCACCTCCTCCTCTCCCGCCCTGGGGAATGTAACTCACGTATTTTATCTATTTCTTATGGGAAAAATTGATCCGCTTAACGTCATGTTTTCAGGAGTGTAACCCCGACGTTAAGCGAGAATGCCCTGTATGTTACGTGTGTCCCTAGGAAACTAATAAAAATACGTGAATACAGGCAGTCCCTGACTTACGACGGAGTTATGGACCCAAATCCAGGTCGTAAGTCAAATTGGTCGAAAATGCGAAAATAATACATATAAATCTAAAATGGGTGTCAATTTTTCTTCTCAGCACCACAAAATTCTCACTTTTAAGCTTGCCAGACATTTTAAAGGGAATTACAAACGAAAATTTTGTCAGTACACAGCGCAATCACTAACATCGGTACTCGAAAATACGTAATTTGAAAAAAAATTGTACGACTGCGGCGGTCGTATGTCCGGGTCATCGTAAGTCGAGGAGTACCTGATGACGTCATGAGGGGCGGCGAGAGCACCCCGAGGGACGCCGTCATCGACCCGCTCTTAATCAGTTGGCGTTCACTGACAGACGGATAATATCGTGATCAGACGACCCGCGTGGCCTGCGTCCTCCATGCTCGTTCGACCGTGTTGTAAGTATGTCCTTATTCGATCTCAGACAGTGTTTAGATAGGGTGGAGAAGAATTTAACAGTGATTAACAACGTACTCCTTTTGCAGGGTCATGAGACCCCAGTTGGTTAGTGGTGATCGTGGTTTGGAAGGTATAGCTGGAGGCAATGCACGGACGGAGACAATCTGACCAGCGAGTGAACAGGTGTCTCTGTCGACCTTTACTGGGACCCAGCCACAATGTGGCAGTCGACCTGGCTCACCCGAATCTCCCCACCAATGCTCATACAACACCACATGAAACACCCACACATATCCTCAGTCAGCCAGGGAAAAATCTTATCAATGGGAAATGGAACACTTTCCTCAGCTGGGGCAGGGTTCACCTGGTTGTACTCTGAGCTGGCCTAACTAGGCTGGATCGACAGTTCCTCTCTTCCTGTCTTTGAAGTATTGGAATAAGCCAACTGAGTGAATGAATGGTCACACTCTGAGACCTGGAATTCTAGTGGTTACGTAGAGACATTCATCTCCCCAGTATTGGGTGTATGTGGTTCTATTAGCCAAGTCCTGGTGTGAGGTGCTCCGTTGTTTCCCTTTTCCCGTGTGATTTTATCAAGATTTATATATATATATATATATATATATATATATATATATATATATATATATATATATATATATATATATATATATATATATATATATATATATATATATATATATATATATATATATATATATATATATATATATATATATATATATATATATATATATATATATATATATATATATATATATATATATATATTATATATATATATATTTGTATATTATTTGTTTGTTGTGTGTGTGTGTGTGTGTGTGTGTGTGTGTGTGTTATATATATATATATATATATATATATATATATATATACACAGTACAGTTGGGTCTCACATTACGCGGTTAATGTAACCCGGAGGGTACCGCGGAAAGTGAGGAACGCGTAAAGTGAACAACATAACATATGGGATTAATTGAAATGGAGTCCAGGCCGATCCCCAAACTCCACTTTTTGACGACACATAACTATGTTGCAGTAAAAATTTTATCTTAACTTTATGATGGTATGAAAAAACAAGTAATATAGAAGAGGTTGGGTTAGGAAAAATAAAGGTTAACATAGGAAAAATGAAGGTTAAGTTAGAGAAACTAAAAGTTAGGTGGAACACTTACGGTAGTAGAAGAGATGGGTCGGCATACGGGGATGGAGGCTGGTTCCGAGGCAGAGGGCAGATTACTGGCCCTCAGGTGAATCACCATTACTAGGTGAATCACCATCACTGTCACTTACAGTTGTCAGGGCTTCCCTGACAAATCCCTCAAAGTCAACTTCACTGTCACTATCACTGGCTTGGGCTGGCTGTGGTGGGTTGCGGGCGAAGAACTCGGTTATGCTTTTTTGACGGCTGGTGTTTATGTTGTCATGATACACCATGATGTACGGCTCCATAGCCTGCACCAGCCGGGTATGGAAGACTTCATAGCGGTCATCGTCATTGTCGCGGGAAAGGACGGACTTAATTTTCTCTGCAAACTCTATGGCACACTTAATATCACTATGACTTAAACTAGGTTCTTCGGAGAATGACGCACCTTCTTCCTCCTCTTCACTGGCGTGTTCTTCTTCCAACATCTCGTCGGCAGTCACTTCAGGATCTCTGATCACCTCCAGGATGTCTTCGTTGGTGGTCTCGGAGAAGCCTTCAGCTGTAATATTGAGCGCAGCTTCTCTGGCAAGGTCCACTGCTACTGCAACAGTCTGAACCTCACCAGTCACAGGTTCACTCCTCCTCTCACCTGGTATGCCATGCAACACATGTCTCCATGCGTGACGAATCGTAGCAATAGTCAGCAGATCCCATGCCTCCACCAAGAAGTCTACAGCTTGTTTAACGTTAAACTTCTTCCAAAATTGTTTGACGAGAAGTTCTTGAGTCACCACCTCTTGTTCCTTGTCCTCGTCGCTTTTGCTCTCGCTGTCGGTGTCACCCAGCTTACGCAACTCATCCTTGGTGTTGGTAGAGTCGTTCAGGAGCTTGAACTTCTTTGCAGAGTACGCAGCTTTCACATTGCAGATCAACTCCTGGTCCATGGGCTGGATTAATGACGTAGTGTTGGGAGGAAGGAAGACCACTTTTACGTTGGGGTGACGATCCATAAGTAGGGGCGAGTGTCCAGGTGCGTTGTCAAGGAGCAACAAAATATTGAATGAAACATTCTGTTGCTCGCAGAATTTCTTCACGTCGGGAACAAAACAGTTGTCAAACCAGAAGAGGGACAGAGAAGAGGACATCCACGCCTTACGTGCGGTTAGCCAGTGGACATTAAGCTTGTTCATGTCCATATTCTTGTAGGCGTGCGGCTTGTGGGCTGTGTGAATCACCGATAACTTTGGTTTACAGGTACCGGAGGCATTGGTGGTAAAGAGGACGGTGATGCGTTCCTTCTGCAACTTCCGACCCCTTACCTTGCTGGCAGACTGGACAACGAAGGTCTTGGAAGGTAACTTTTTCCAGAAAAGACCAGATTCGTCCATGTTAAACACCTGGTCGTCAGTGTACTGTCCTTCCTCCATAATCTCACGTAAGAACGGAGGAAAATCTCTAGCCGCCACACGGTCAGCACTCGCTTCCTCACCACCAATGTTGATGTTGGTGATCTTGTTCCTCTTCTTAAACCTATGCAGCCAACCAGAGGAAGCATTGAAGGGTTTGGGCTCTGCATTCCCAGCTTACGTGACACTGCTGCGTATAGCTCACGTGCGTACTCCTGCACTGAGCGCGTGTCCACCGCCATGTTGCGTCGCGCCTGACGAACCAAATAACTCACCAGCAAATTTTCCACTTTTGCCAGCACCCTTTTCTGGCAATACCTGATAGATGAAGCACCTGCAGACTTTGTGATTTTCATGTGCTCTTTGATCTTGGCTGCAACCTTCTTGATCGTGCGAATCGTAGATTCGTTGACGCCATGCTGGCGCGCGAGATCAACTTGCCGTGTTCCTTTTTCCAAATCTTGAACAATTTGGTACTTCACCTCGTAGCTTAAGGAACGTCGTGTCTTCTTTGGCTTAGTGCCGCTGGGTCCAGGTAAGGAAAGGTCTCTCTCTGGTGGCGGTGGTGGTCCGGCGGAAGCCATTTTACGGAACAATGGATGCGCGTTTACACGGTGTGGCCTTGAGGGATGAAACTGCCGCGGCTAGGTCAAGCATCGTCTCTCCTCCCTCCCTCCCTCCCTCCCCGGGGTGGTCACGTCATAATACTTTAAGCCAATTACAGCTAGCAGCAGAGGGGGGTAGGGATGCATGGCCAATCACAGTCCGATACGTCATATGACGTCAGTGATAACGCAACAAAGACACACACTGCGCAACCTTACCGCGCCGCTTGCCCAAGCGGAGGGAGGAGGAGGGAGAGGCAGGCGGGCGGGTGGCGCGTGGGGCAAATCTAAAAATAGCGTCTCGAGCCGGACACTCACCGCGTATATGATGAAAAAATCCGTGTTAAGTGAAAGTTCAGCTCTGGCGAGGCACCGCGTATATGATAAAACACGCTAAGTGAAACCGCGTTAGGCGGGGTAATACTGTATAAACATCATGTATTTTGCACGAGATAAAAATTAATCACTCCATCTTTACCAGGTTGGAGGTAACACTGTGTGGGAGACGATGGCTGCTACTGTGCCAGGCCTGAATAGGTCCTGGCAAAGCCTTAAACAACATTATAGGAAGTACACAGTCAATCACCTCCAAGATTTTCAACTGACTGATAAAGAATTAGCAATGTTTAGAACCTCAGGAGGTAAGTAACTATTACAAAGTTTTTATGTTGTAGGTGTACAATATTATTAGCCAACACACTCATTTTTGCTCGACCCTTCTTTACCGTGAGCGCCACCCGATGTGAACAAACATATCCCTCATCATACTGCACTTCAACCTCTCATCGCACAGTGTGAGAGGTGAAGTAAATTCTGTTTCACATTTCTAGGTTTTATTAAACAAAGAATATAAAAAAAAAAACCAAAATATATAAGAAACACATTAACCATATATGGACTAACACAACCTAAGGACAGAGTATGACACGTTACAGTTACCGTATACCTGTACCCACACTGTTTATCTTTGATAATTATTTATACATATATCTACACGATCTCGTCAACCAGATCAAATGTAGTTTCCATGAAGAAAAAATAATAGTAGAATAATTTGTTATATATGATATCATATACTGTACATTATACTAAAATGTTCATAGCTGGGTTATGGGTAAATATATAAGTCAAAATCATTACTGTACTATGCACAGAGTAATGCTATCTTTACTTACTTTGTGATTGATGTCAGTTCTTGTAAAGAGTAAATGGTCTTGTGGTCTGACTTGAAGACAACTCGGTTAGTGTGCCCTCGGACAGGTTAGGCCGGCACAGACACTTCTCTGGGTCTGCCTGGCTCAACTGTGTCACGTCATCCAGAGGATGTTTTGAACATGGAAGGAGCTATTTTTTATGCATAAAATAATGCTAAAGTATCTTGATATGCTATGTATAATTGTTGGCATATGCATTTTGAAATTCATTCAAATTAGGGTCAACTTCCACTTGTTATATCAATTAACAAGAACCTCACTATTTATATAGACTTTTTGGTGTCAATATATCAATTGTTTAACTTCTGACTCAGCTAAGTGGTGGCAATGACTGACTCTGGCTGTAGTGTCTTGTGTGTGTGTGTGTGTGCGTGTGCATCAGTGACTGGCTGTAGTGTCTCGTGTTTGTGTGTGTGCATCAGTGTCTCGTCTGTGTGTGTGTGTGTGTGTGTGTGTTTGGCGCATCAGTGACTGGCTGTAGTGTCTCGTGTGTGTGTGTGTGTGTGCATCAGTTACTCTGGCTGTAGTGTCTCGTGTATGTGTGCGTGCGTGCATCAGTGACTGGCTGTAGTGTCTCGTGTGTGTGTGTGCATCAGTGACTGTGTGTCTGTGTGTGTGTGTGTGTATGTATATATATATATATATATATATATATATATATATATATATATATATATATATATATATATATATATATATATATATATATATAAATATATATATATATATATATATATTTACAGTGATCCCTCGGTTAACAAGATTTCGGTTAACGAGTTTCTTACAAGCCGACCCAAACATTTTCTTCATGTACAACTTCTTAAAGTTGCTGATTACATTCTGGTCCATTGGCTGTATGATTGATGTAGTGTTTGGAGGCAAAAACAACACTTTCACAAAGTCAAATTGATACTCCAAATTTCTGGCAAGGTCAGGGTCATGACCAGGGGCATTATCCATGAGGAGAAGAACCTTTAAAGGGAGTTTATTGGTGGTTAGGTACCTCTTGACAGAAGGGCAAAACACATCAACAGCCCATTCATTAAAGAGCTGTCTTGTCACCCATGCCTTACGGTTGGACTTCCAATAAACTCCAAGCTTTGTTCTTACCACTTTCTGTTGCTTGAACACCCTCGGGTTTTCAGAGTGGTAGACAAGCATAGGCTTCAGTCGGAAATCCCCTGAAGCATTGGCACCAAGCAGTAGAGTGAGACGGTCTTTCATGGGTTTATGCCCAGGTAAAGAGGCTTCATCTCTGGTGATGAATGTTCTTTTGGGCATCTTTTTCCAGAACAGCCCAGTTTCGTCCACATTGAACACTTGCGGTGGAAGATAATTTTCTGTATCCATCAGTTCTTTAAATTCCACTAAAAACTTTGCTGCCCCTTCCTTATCAGCACTGGCAGCCTCACCATGCCTAACTACACTAAAAATGTCACTTCTTTTCTTAAATTTTTCGAACCAGCCCTTGCTGCCCCTAAAATCTTCAAAGTCTGTGCCTGAAGAACCAGGTTGATCTACCTTTAAATGTTCGTATATTTCACTGGCTCTTTCAAAATAAATTCAGTAGAAACTGAATCACCTTTCATCTGTTTTTCCCTAATCCAGATGAGAAGTAACCTCTCTGTTTCTGCTATTAGGGATCTACCTTTGAACACTGGTAGATTTGTCTCTCACTTTCACTTCCTTGAATTTGTCTTTCTGTGCAAGAATTGTCGACACAGTTGATGTCGACATGCCATATTCTTTGCTTGGCACATTTGTTCTAATGCCTTCTTCTTGTTTTCTAATTATTTCCTGTTTCATCTGAATTGAAATCGCTTTTCTAGATTTCTTGGGACCCATGCTGGATTCAAAAAAAATTTCAACACATGATATTTTAAGTTTAATTGCTGTAAATAAAGAATATTTTCTTTAAATTAACACTGCACTGTGCTATATATCATCAATATGTAAAATAAATTTCAAAATGACCAATAATTTGACTGGAAACAGAAAAAAGCATTTATGTTGAAGAGAGTCTGAAGAAAGATGTTACCTCCACTGAAAAGACAGAGACTGACGCCTGTTTCGTGTGTTGACAGGCTGTTTGGCGCGCATAAAACTAGTTTCCTGTACTTCAATTATGTTCAATAATTGTTAAAATGACTAAATAATTTAATGCAGTAGTACCCCGATGGTCAATTGAACCCACAGGGTACCGCGGAAAGTGAAAACCATAAAGTGAACAACAGAACATATGGGATTAATTCCAATAGAGACTGGCCCGACCCCCAAACTCCACTTTTTCCGACACAATACCTATGTTGTAGTAAAAATAACATCGAAATTTTATGATGGTATGCTCACACAATTCAAATAATGGACTCAAATCCCCTCTTCCCAGCTCACTAGCTCCTACATCTCTGAAAAATGTTTGGGTGAAACCACTAGATTTTAACGTTTAGTAATAAATAATACCTCAGACTAAAGTTAGGATAATATAATTGACATTTCTGGATTCCTTGCAGGTCAGGGAATATTTTTATGTAAACTTCATATATTTTGCTCAAAAGATAAAATATTTGCTTTGTGTAAACCAAATTATTACATTAGATTTAAAATTTGTACGTCTAATGCAAAATCCATGATGTTTATATTCAAAATGATCATCATATTGTAAGAATTCCAGCAATGTAAATTATATTCTGGCCGAGTAATTAGTATGAATTTTATGAGCTAAAACAAATATCTTCAGGTAATAAAAAAAAAATAATCTTCACGACATTATCTATCAATTAAAGTACCCCACCTTGCCTCCCCCTACCCCCCACCTTCCCTCCCTACCAGAGAAATGTTTGGGTGAAAAAACTAGATTTTAACTTTTAGTAATAAATAATACCTCAGACTAAAGTTAGGATAATATAATTGACATTTCTGGATTCCTTGCAGGTCAGGGAATATTTTGAATGTAAGCTTCACATATTTTGCACAAAAGATAAAATATTTGCTTTGTGTAAACCAAATTATTACATTAGATCTAAAATTTGTATGTCTAATGCAAAATCCTTGATGTTTATATTCAAAATGATCATCATATTGTAAGAATTCCAGCAATGTAAATTATATTCTGGCCGGGTAATTTGTATGAAATTTATGAGCTAAAACAAATATCTTCAGCAAATAAACAAAGAAATATTCTTCAAGGACACTATCTGTCAATCAAAATACCCCACCTCCGCCCTCCCTCCCTTCCTATACCCCACCCCCCACTTTCCCTCCCTACCAGAGAAGCCGATTGGGAGAAAATAGTATATTTACATTTGTAGTAATAAATAATAACCCAGACTAAAGTTAGGATAATATAATTGACATTTCTGGATTCCTTGCAGGTCAGGGAATATTTTGAATGTAAACTTCATATATTTTGCACAAATGATAAAATATTTGCTTTGTGTAAACCAAATTATTACATTAGATCTAAAATTTGTATGTCTAATGCAAAATCCATGATGTTTATATTCAAAATGATCATCATATTGTAAGAATTCCAGCAATATAAATTATATTCTGGCAGGGTAATTTGTATGAATTTTATGAGCTAAATAAAAAAAAAAAAAAAAAAAAATTATGCTTCACCGCGTGTATGAGTAGATGCACCGCGGAAAGTGAAAGTCTGGTTCTGGCAAGGTACTGAGTGAAACCGTGTAAAGCGGGGTAATACTGTATATAACTTAAAATGATTGAATAGTACAACCTTCTTGATATTTACTAAAATGGTAAGGAATTTAAGCCCTAGAACCGATTACTGTATTGGCGGACTAATACAACAGCTAGTGTGCAAGAGAAAACATGTTGTGGGGCGCTCATAATGAATTCGTTAATCGAGGGATGCTCGTTAACCGAAGTTAAGAATCTTATGGAAGGTAATTCGTTAACCGAGGGGTCACTGTATAGTCATGAAATGGGAAGTTCCCACGGTTATTGGTACATGTGAAGAAAATTTACCGCACATTTAACCTAATTTTAAATTCTCTATTTTCAGCTAGTGAAAGAAGAAATGGGAAGCACTTCACAAGAATGATAAAATCAAACACTAAGAGAGATGAAGAGACTTCTTCAAATGATTTTAAGGAAGATAACTCAAGTGAACCTGACTCTCAGAAGCGAAAATCAGCAAATGAAAGGAAGAGGCAAAAACACACTGACGAAGAATTTGAAAGTCATAATGAGGAAAAAATTAAAAGGAAAAGTAAAGAGGGAGAGACACGGTCTAGGGACAATTACTGTAAGCCATCTAGAACTGATCATATCCAATCACCACAAGTAAACCTAAGAAGATATGTGGCAAAGAGAAAGTTGTTTAAGTTTGGTGAAGTGGCAAAACTTACTCCACAAGCTCCCTTCGTTAGCAATGGTGTTGGTAGTGCCATCATACAACGTAAATTCTTGAGTAGAGGAATCTATTCAAGTTCTAAAGAGGAACAACAGAAATGCACTTCAGATGAGGCTAGTGCAAGGAGCCCTCATAGACCACAACAACAGAGCCCTCATAGACCACAACAACAGAGCCCTCATAGACCACAACAACAGAGCCCTCATAGACCACAAGAACAGAGCCCTCATAGACCACAACAACAGAGCCCTCATAGACCACAACAACAGAGCCCTCATAGACCACAACAACAGAGCCCTCGTAGACCACAACAACAGAGCCCTCGTAGACCACAAGAACAGAGCCCTCGTAGACCACAAGAACAGAGCCCTCATAGACCACAAGAACAGAGCCCTCATAGACCACAAGAACAGAGCCCTCATAGACCACAAGAACAGAGCCCTCATAGACCACAAGAACAGAGCACTCATAGACCACAAGAACAGAGTCTTCATAGTCCACAAGAACAATCATTACTTGGAGCAGAGATATCCCTAGAAGAGGAAAATTTACATCATAACTCTGGAGAAAATATTGATGTAACTGTTATTGAAAGGTCACACATGAGTGATGGGGAAGGAAGTGGTGTGGTTTATTCTAAAAATCAGCCAGTAGCCAACAAGAGCCTCTCAGATTTAGAAGATGATATTTCTAGTGCAAAAACTAATGACAGATCCATGTCTCCGGTCGCTGTAACTCCCAGGCGAGATGTGCAGGATAGAATACCCTATTTGAAACCTGTCAAATATTTAGGCATTAGGAATTTTCTAGAGGGAAGTGGAGACTCATTGTGTAGTAATTCACCTGCTAGTGATAATGAAGGTGAATCTCCAAGTCCTGAAATGCAGCTTGAAGGATGTTCAGTGTTATTACAGAGGCTTCCCAGGAGTAAACTTAGAAGGACAGTTGTACATAAAAACAAGATGAAAGCTCTGTATTGAACAGTGAACAATTACTTTAAGTTAATGGATATCTGTAATTCATAGACTGTAATGATTATATTGGGAAAGAATTTAACTTTCTTTTCATATGAGTTTTTATTATAGTTATTAGCCTTTAGGTTTATTGTCATTTCGTTGTATGCAAAGATCTTAATCATAGTGCTTAATACAGACCTTTCCTTGTGTTGGACAAATAAATATTACCAGTTTTAACCAACAACAACTCTCATAACAAGTCTTTAATGTTAGGACTGTCACCTCTATTTACTCATGCTGAAAGTCTTTACCTGCCTTCTCACTGTATAAGCTGCCATTCTGTTTAAAAATCAATTACCGGTATAAATACAGTACTGTATCATGATAAAAGCTCCTCTGATTCGACAACAGGAATACACCAATTATCACAAAGGATGAGTTCCTGAAAGTCATTGCCTATGATGAATTTGTATAGTTTGGGACATTTTTCTCCACAAGAATCAATTGGGGGGGGGGGGGTCATTGTTGAGGTCAGACAACAATATAGTGTCTACTTCTCCATGACGTTACCAATCTGCTTCTGACCGATGATTTTATTTGACACTTCTTTGTTGATTTTAGTGTTTTCTTTTATCCTTCATTACTTCAGCTTTCGTAATATCAGTGTACATACAGTAGGTTTTAATCAAATTTGTATAACTATTGAATGAGGAAATAAACAGTTTTGGAACATGTCAGACTTTTACCTTTCTCATCTATAATTACAAGTTATTTTCTTGAATAACTTACTTATGTCAATAACAGTATAAATAAAAGTATAACTGAGAACAAATAAGCATTTGACACATTGTACAAAATTACAGTCAATACTTAAACTATAACAACCTTCCCAAACCTAAATAGACAAGTTGTCGGTCAGAATTTTTTCATGAGATGGTAGGTCAATGTGTAAAGAAAACATTTAAATTCACTATGGTAATGATATTTTTAAATGAATTGGGCCAAAAATTAAACAAAAATAAGGGTTAAAGTTGCAAAAAAGTCACGTGACTGTGAAAAGCTGTGATTGGTTGTGACGCCACGGGTTGGCTCGAGCAGGAGCCTGGAGGCAGCCAGCTGTGGTGATGTGTTGTTACCAGTAGAAATACAGGACTTGTGGCCATTCCTTATTTTTAGGTTATAATAAATTACTGCTCAAGTATCATCGTGTGTATTTACTTGCTGGCTGCCAAAATGATGCACAAACCGATACAATAACTCCAACTATTTCAACCATCACTACCATTATTCTAACTACCACCACAGCTTCCACCATTCCAACCACCACCACTATTCCAACCACTACCAACCACCATCACCACTACCACAATTCCAACCACTACCACTTTCAATCACCATCCACTACCACTATTCCAACTACCACCAACCAACCACCAGCACCACTACCACCATCACAGGCCTCTTTCTTCCCAACTGACCAATAAAAAGGTGTACAAGAACAAGGAGTTAGAGGGGAGGATGTGGCTAATGGTGGTAATTAGAAGACCAATTAAAACACCTGCCAGCATTTACACCTGTCATTAATGGCTGGGATAATATACCTCATTAGTCAGGTAATGGTTAGGGTTGAGACGCGTGAACGGACTCGGGAGCTCTGAGGACACTGCGTCAAGGTGTTTATACTTGTGATGTGGTCTTGCATATGGTGTGGCCTTGTGTGTGATGTGGCCTTGCGTGTGATGTGGCCTTGCATGTGATGTGGCCTTGTGAGTGATGTGGCCTTGCGTGTGATGTGGCCTTGTGTGTGATGTGGCCTTGTGTATGGTGGGTCCTTTATGCCTGGGTACCATGTATGTGGCCTTGTGTATGGTGGGTCCTTTATGCCTGGGTACCAGTAATGGTAGTCACGGAGAATACACAAGTTGTTACCAAGGTTGGCGCCACCCACACCAGGGGAAGGAGATGATGTCGAACACTGAGACATGCCGAGGTCTCATTCCTACCATCGTCGTCACCAACAGGTAAGTCACATTAATTTGTCAGCATAGCCCATGTCGTCCTTATACTATTGCAGGGTGTCCCATGAGTGACAGCAGATATTTGTAGAAGTGAAAGAATATGTGATATTGAGCCACCATGTCTCTATCTCCACCCGTTTCCCTCTATCTATAATAAAAAGTGTAACCCTACTCAGAAAAAATAATGAATGGGCCCTCCAAACAAATTAAAGATGAGGTGCACCCCACCCAAATAGGCATGGGCCCTCCATTTCCTTTCGCCTTCTTTTCTCCACATCCTTTCCTCCCTCCCATCGCCCCAGCCTCAAGCTACCACCCAATACCATGCAGTGGGCAGAAGGCCACACACTTTCTCTCCTAAAAGTCTGTTCCGTTTAACCCACATTCTTTCACTACTAAACCTTCTTCTCCCTTTCCTATATTTCGCTATCGGTATCTCCCGCCTCGACTCCGCCATTTGTAATGGTTGCTTTGCTTAATTTGTAAAATCCACCTCATGACTAAACGTAAACCGAAAAATCCATATATGTATAGAATTTTTATACTCAGAATCACATACAGCATTCTTTCACCTCTACAAATATCTGCTGTAATTGGTGGGACACCCTATTATAATTATATGACAGTTGTTATATGAGCTCCTAAGTTAACTTCACCATAAAAATGTGGTGTTTGATGTGCTATGCGTTTGCCGCACGTTACCTTACTCGGTTATGTTACACCCCCAGTTGCAACCTGGGAGTTTGGGTTGGGTAACGTAGTATTTTGAGCAGAAATGGAATTCAGAACGACTCAATGAACACAAAGAAAAACGTTTTTATATAACGAACCCTAACGTAATGTAACCTATTACAGTTATATGTAATCTGGGATGAACATGTCATAGCTGAAAATTGTCAAAGAAATATGTAAAGCAGTTGAAAACCATATATTTTGATTATCGGCAAGGCTAACTACCTATAAACAATTAATATTTGACGATTGGCAAAAGTCCTGGGAAAATGAACCAACAAGTCATAAGCTAAAAATGATCAAATCATCAGTTTATCCTTGGTCATCATCAAAACAATCCTCTCGACATCACGAAACTATTCCGAATCGTCTCAGAATTGGGCATACGCGATTGACGCATGGCCAACTCATGTCTTCCCTTAATGGAGCCCCACCTATATGCTCCAACTGCCGAACACAAATAACAGTCCAACATATTCTCATCGAATGCCCTATTTATAATCGGTATCGAACAATGTGCTTCACTAACCCTACAATGTAAGATATTTTAGCAGAAACCCCAAAATTTTCCATAAGTTCAGTTTTGACCTTTTTGAAATACTGTAATCTCCTCCAAACAATATAACACTAAATTATAGAAAGACAAATATATGTTAACTAATCCCTCTGGCCAGCCCTAGGAAAGACTCAAATGGGTGTCAGTGGCCTGGATAAACTAAGTCTTGATGATGATTATCGGCGAATGTTCACTCTACAGTCGCAGGGGTGGTGGTGGAGGTTGGGGGGGTGGGGAGGATCCACTTGCAGTTCACTATGAATACATGAAATAGGAAGGGTTTCTTGGACAGTTGATCCAAAAAGATTTACCAAAACGCTATGTCAGAGTAATAATACTTAACCTAGGTGTTACTAATACCATTAATTTACTCTAGTATATAAAAGCCTGCATCAGTTACCACAACATAATATTACTCTGCCATTTCAGATATGCCTGCAGGACGAGCAAATTCGTCGGCAGTGATTGCTGAGCGAGGCAAAATCATCGGGATGTGGAGAGCCGGGGCAACTGTGCCGAACAATGCTGTCGAAGTGGGGAGGAGCACCAAGACGATTAGGAGGTGGATCCGCCGGTGGGAGGAAGAGGGCTCACCCCAGTAAAGGCAGTAAAGTAATGTACAATGAGTGCCATGTACTATGTATTGTGAGTAGGGCCAAGGAACTGGTCCTGCTATGTAATGTAATGTAACACCAGTTAGGTTGTGTGCAGTAGGAGTGTAAGATCTGAGTAATTACTCTTGAGTAAAGAAATAGAAAATAAGTAAATAAGAAATAAGTAAATAAGAAAGTACTGAGTCTGCAATAAGCCCAGAAGGTGAGCCTGGTAGTTATAAATTAATATTACCTCTTTTTCCCTTTGATTTCATATTAATAAATTTGTTTTAGAGTATTTTAGGTGTATTCATTTCTCCCACAGTATTTTACCTTTATTTCCGTCCAAGTGACTTGATACCAGAGTTACCATACCCATGTGCCGAGACCCTCGTCCATGCTACCAAAAGAATGACCATACTACCAAAAGAATGACCATCCTACCAAAAAAATGACCATGCTACCAAAAAAATGACCATGCTACCAAAAGAATGTCCATGCTACCAAAAGACCTGAGTAAGAGTAAGAACTAAAGACAAGAGAATTAAGTAAGATAAGGGTGGTGTAGGTGTTGGAAAACACGCGCCCTTACAATGTAGATATCTCACACTCAGGAATGAGGTAGAATAGAAACTCACAATGCATTTTCTGTTTATATATTGTTGTACAGTGCAGTGCTAAGGAGTTACTAGGTGAGGAGTAGCTTGCTCAGAGGTCTTGTAGGGCGAGGAGCTTTTTGAGGAAGCTGGCTGGTGAGGCGTTGGAGAGAGATCTTGCTGGTCCAGTTGTCATGATCGTAATGACGGCTAACCTGAAAACCTTAAGGATTCATATTACGCTCAAACGTCCACAAAACCTTCTGAGTCCCTGAGTGGAAACGTCTTCCGTTTTCTCTGTTTCCTTGTTGACGTCATCGAGAGGCCGTCTTTGTCTGAAGGGAACTTTGAATCTAATCTGCGGGTTTCGTAACAAGACGCTGTATGTTGGGACCAGTTGCCATCCAACCCTTTGTAATCAATTTAATTCTTGCTTTTGATAGCTCAGTCAGAGCATTGTTTGTGAAGATAATAGTACGGAATGAAACTGAATTCGTAGTCTCAGTTTCAACGTCAGAGTGTACAGTAAAGTAATTCATCTTAATAGAAGTAGGTGAAATCCCTGACCCAGTTTGAGTGAGGGTGCCGCGGGCATTTCAACCGTTAGTAAGTGCTCGTCCCTTCACCCATACAGGTAGGTCATTCCACTCTGTGTTGTGATTCGCTTTTTTTTAAGTGATTTGACTCAATTAATAGTTGATTGTGCAAGTGTTACAGTAACGTAGTTGATATGCTTTGAGTGAAGTAATGTTACGTCTTTAACGTCCCCTGAAATGTGATGTTGTTGTCATTGTTAGTAAGTGCTCGCCCCTTCACCCATACAGGTCCCTAATGCAGCCTAGGCCGTATCTGTAGCGTGGATGTTGTATCCACTAGTCTGGAGAGATGTCCGAGGTCCAGTAGGATCAGTCATCTTCATGAGACCCGACCGTCAGAAACTTCAGTACTACCTATGGGCCCCATAGCTGGCCCGTCTGACCCTAACGCTCGGCCCGCGAGGTGACCCCGGATCACCAAGTCACACACAACTACCAGCCCCCATCATTGGTGGATGAGAGTCTAGCTCAGTAGGGCTATTTGTGTGGTTGTGTTATTCCACTGGGATCTTCAGAGTTCGTTGGAAAGTACCCCATGGTGGCGGGACCCCATGGCGGTTGCTTGAGTACCACCCCTGACGACTGAGTGTTGTAGTGGCAGTTGCCCTGGTCTTAATGGTGCTAAGCTACTATAAGAGTTT